CCACGCCCACCTTTTGTTGCTTTTTGTCTGTAAATGATCTACAGGTTGCAATTATTAACAGATTTGGAATCAATTCGGAATGATCCAGCATAGGGTTGTACCTATATATATTGGTCAATGTCCAACCCCCAGGGGCAAAGTCTACAGACTGGAATTCTAAATAGATCATCTTGGGTCTTGGCATATGTATTCCTTATACTGTAAGGATAGCAACTATTTATTTTGGTGCATGTCCCGACCCCCAGGGGAGTGGTACCACGCCACTTTTTTGTTACTTTTTATCCATAAATTCTCTACAGGTTGCAATAATTAACAGATTTTGTTGAAATTCAGCATATAAAAATATTTCAATAAAAGGGTGGTACCTATTTAAATTGTTCCATATCCAACCCCCAGGGGAAGAGCCACGCCCAATTTTTGTATTTATCGTCTATAGGCTGCAATTCTGAATGGATCATCTTGGAACTTTGCATATTTGTTCCTTATACCGTAAAGACAGCAATTATTTATTTTGGTGTGCCCCGACACCCCGGGGCAGTGTCACACCCACTTTTTTTGGTTAATATCTTGTCTGTAAATTTGGCAAAACAAACCCAACGCCTAGCCTTCTTTGCCTCTTATCATATTATTACAACCATTTCATATTCCAATTTTCCGGCGTGGTTTCCCCTTGTCAGTGATGCAGAAAGGAGGGCCTGACAAGGACAGCTGCCTAGTCGTTCGGATGGGACGAAAAACCGAGGCCCCGTGTACACATTGGCGTGCACGTAAAAGATCCCTTGGCAGTTGGAATTCGATATAAGAGTAGGCCGTAGCGCCGCTGCCCGGGCAAAATTTCCCTCATAGCACACTGTATGGCGTATGCCCGTCTTCAATTAGCCCAGGTTAGGTGCAGAAGAGTAGGACGTTAAACCCCATTTCATTTCATTTCATATTCCATTATCTTCATTTTACTAACTACATTGAGTGAAAACATTGGTAAATTATAAAAGTATATAATAAGTCGAATGTAACTTCGCACCGAACCAACTATTAGTAATTCAATACGAATGCCAACAGTGGTCATACTTTTTAACTCACATGTTCATCTTGAAGCGAGAGCCTCAACAAGAATGTGAACACTGTCATGTTCCTTTAACACTGTCATGTTCCTTTAACAGTTAAGCACACTCGAACTGTCAAAGGAACATTACAGTGTTCACATTCTGGTTGGGGCTCTCGCTTCAAGATGAAAAGCTACAGTCAAGTCTGCTAGAGGGACAGCAGTCTGCTTATTCAACGAAAAGAACAAAGTAAGGTTTTCGTCCATGTTACTAGGATGAAAACAGATACTAGTGTATTTATGGCGATGTTTACTTATGGAAAACAGCCACTACTGTATTTACGGCGATGTTTACTTATGGAAAACAGCTACTAGTGTATTTACGGCGATGTTTACTTATGGGAAACAGCTACTAGTGTAATAAAGGCGATGGTTTGAAGAGTATTCTCTCATTAGCTCGATAACGTTAAAAGAAAACTGTTCGAAACGTCGCCTTAAATTAAATACAATAGTAGCTGTTTTCCATTAGTATGTGTTTTTGTGTTTACCCTATCCAGTTTATAAATGCTATTTAAAGATTATTGTTGCCATACACGTTCCAAACGTCGTCACCATTTAGATATAGGGCCAGTGTATTAACAAACTCTATGGCATCCCGAAAAATAGATTTTACGATTGGCGCGTGCGGCGGTACCAGTAATTGTCCTAAAACGGCCAATCGCGAACGCAAAAACAAATAGGGATAATGTGGCTTGATGATCGGGATAACTTTATTTCCCGGAAAATTCACAACGAAACGAAGAAATGCCATGTGCTGATAATACGAGAAGGTGTATATTTCAAATGCCATTTAAAGACATGTCTTCTATTCACTTAAATCATTAAAATGTTCGCTTATATGTGTTGATGATTCTACGCTAATTAAATATTCATTATTACTAACAGTTATTCGACCACAATTAGATTTCAAGATAATTTAAATGGCCAGATTCTAAAATAAGACAATTTGTTGTCTGGGATATAACCCTCGATGGAAGCGTAAAATTTCCGTTCGTTGTCAGTCAGTTCGTGCTAGTGGTCTTGGATTAAGCCGTTTATTACCCCCACTGTTCTTATAACATGGTTATATATACTCGATTATCATAGTATTCCATGTCCATGATAACGATGACGCCCCCCTTATCACTTTCTTTAATACAAATAGTAACGTTAGATTTCAAAGAAGTGATCGAGCAGTGTTCATTCATGGATACATTTAAGGGAGTAGTAACTTGGTTAAATAATTACTATGTAATAATTAGTTATCTTAACCCATCCGAGATTTTTTCCCTAATTATACCCATATACCGCAGCTGTATGCCGGGGTATCCGGTTCAAAATGCGATCTAGAGTAACAAGTAAACAGGGGGGGGGGGATGGCCTAGTGGTCTAGAGTGTCGCGCTTCGAGGTGTAGCTAGTCGGTCATCTCTGGTTTGCGGTCGTGGTTTCGGTACCTGGTGTGAGCGTATGCAACTTGGAGATGCCTTCTCAACCTCGTGGGTTTACTCCGGTTTCCTCGTACAGGAGAGACATCTTGTCTGCGATATCACCCTCGGTGGAAGCGGACGTTAAAACAATAATAGAAAAAGAACAAGTAGACAAACGTAAAAGGTAGAATATCAAAAGTAAAGGGAATATTCTGATCAAAAAGCCCATTTTTGTGGAGGAAAACTTCAATTTTATGCAATCAATCTGCAAAAAACATCAACATTTACAGCATCAATTTTTGGGGAGGTTCGGGTATGTCCGGAGTGCAAAATGGTCGGTTTATATTATTATTATTTAATACATTTATATAGCGCATCTTTCACCAAAGTGTTCAGATGCGCTTAACAATAACAAAGTAAAATACAATTTATAATAAAAAAGAAGTTCCTAAAAAAAACAACCCAGTTCCTAAAAATAAAAAAGTAAGAAGAGAGAGACAATGTAAAAATGACATAATTTTTTTAAAACTACCCATAAAACAGTCAAATGTGTACAATCAGTAAAAAGCCTGTTTGAATAAATGAGTTTTCAAGTGTGATTTGAATGTAATGATGGAAGGTGATTTCCGAATAAGATAAGGTAATTTATTCCAAATTAACGGTGCATAAAATGAAAAGGCCCTCTCGCCATAGGATGCTAGTCTGGCTCGAGGTTGTACTAACTGTAAATCGTCACTAGAGGATCTTGTGTTTCTCACCGAAGTGCGGATTTGTATCAATTCAGTATGGGTGTGCGAAACCATTGAGACATTTGTATGTAATTAACAATATTTTAAAATCAATTCTGAATGATACAGGAAGCCAATGAAGGGTGTAAAGAATTGGAGTTATGTGCTCATGATAACCCACACCAGTAACCAGACGTGCTGCGGAATTTTGCAGTTTTTGTAGTTTTGAAAGTAGCTTATCCGGTAGACCAGTTAACAAGGAGTTCAAACAATCAAGACGTGAAATCACAAGAGATTGAATTAAAGTTCTAGTAGCATCAACAGATAAATATTTACGTATTCTGCTGATATTGCGCAGATTATAATAGCCATTCTTACAAATATTATTAACATGATTTTCCATTGTAAAATGTGAGTCAAAGATGGCTCCTATGTTTCTTGCAGTTAGTGATGGGGATATAACAGTTTTACACACACGAATTGAAGGATCAGGGTCAACTTTACTAAGCACATTTTTAGAACCAATTTGAAGATATTCAGTTTTGTCATCGTTTAATTTAAGAAAGTTTGAAGTCATCCAATTTTTAATGTCATCTATGCACTGTTCGAGTTTTGACTTTGAAAAAATGAGATGATTGTCAACAGAGGGTTTGAATGATAGATAAATCTGAGTATAATTGAAAACACAGCCCATGTTTACGTACTATGTCTCCAAGAGGTGAAGTATAAAGACTAAACAGTATCGGTCCCAGAACTGATCCTTGCGGAACGCCACAAGAAAGAATGTTTTTGGGTGAAGCGTGATCACCAACTATAACTGTTTGATCTCGGTTTGTTAGATACGAAGTAATAAGTTCAAGAGCATTTTCTTTGATTCCAAACACATTATGTAGTCGATTTAGGAGTATAAGATGGTCAACAGTGTCGAAAGCTGCTGATAAGTCCAGTAGTACAAGTAGAACACATTCACTCTTATCTACAGATAAGTTGATGTCATTGTGTACACGTATGAGAGCTGTTTCAGTGCTATGGTATTTTCTGTAGGCGCTTTGGAACTTTTCCAATAAATCATGATCACTTATATGGGACACTAACTGTTTTGAAATACAACGTTCTAAAAGCTTCGATATAAAACTTAAATTAGATACTGGTCTGTAGTTTCTTTCAAGATTTATGTCAAGACTGGGCTTTTTGATTAAAGGAAAAACAATGGCATGCTTAAATACATCAGGGACATAATTTTCACTTATAGCAGAATTGATGATATCGGTAATAACCGGAGAAAAAACAAAAAGATTATCCACTATGAATTTGGATGGAATTGGGTCCAAGGAACAAGTGGTTTTAGAAGATTCTTTCACTAATTTTATATAAATGAGTATTTTGGGGAACCCGAACCCTTTTAAGATTGGTAAAAGGTAAGTTCTGTCTTCTACAAAGGGTTAGGGTTAGGCCTGATATTCTCTAAAATTCTCATTTATATAAAGCGGCCATGTTGGTCTACGGAAGCACCCGATCCTCCCCTACCGGCCTACAATTAGCATTTCCCATAATTTTAATGCAATTATTCTGTAAAAACATCAATATTTACAACCTTAAATCGTCAGAAGCCTACTTTCATGGACATAATTTCTACTTTCTACTACGATCAACGTTTGATATATTAGCATAAGACACTATACTCTTATACCCCCGTCAGACCGGGGCGCGTCCTGACTGCGCGCAGGGTCGCCATAAGCGTGGTGGAAACACCAAATATCGTGCTGTGGTCTTCGAGAGCGCCAATGATCGCTGATTCACGGCGTGTGTTTTAAGCATGATCAAAAAAAAAGCCAGGGTTCTACGATCTGACCTGGAATGCCGTTTAGTTTTTATTTATTTTTTTGGAGGGGGGGGGGGTTGTGGACATTTTCTATCGTTGGGTTCATGTTTGTCGGCAACCTTGTGCATTTTCTGGTCGCCGTATGGTCGCAACTGCGTAGTAAGGACGCCACCCCGGTCTAATGGTGACATTACAATATTGACGATTGTATCGTAATGTGGCTCTTGTTCGGCTATTGTATCGTAGTGTGGCACTTGTTCGTCTATTGTATTGTAATGTGGCTCATCTTCAGCTATTGTGTCGTACATAGAATCATCACCAGTCTCCTCGTGTGGTGTACGATGAACAGGCGGCTCCTTTTTCGTGGAATTCTTGTCTGACTTAGATGTGTTGATGTTTGTCTTTCTTCTTATACACCTAATAATAAAATGTTTACATAGTGTACAACTGTGTGGGAGCCACGATGGCTAAGTGGGTAAGACGCTGGCTCGCTATACTGGAGGTTGCGTGTTCGATCCTTGCATTGGCCGAGAAGTTCATCTGGATTTTCCTACGTGGCTTCCCATTTTCAGTGGTGCTGGACGGAGGGCATGACCAGAACAACTGTCTAGTCGTTCGGAAGTGACGAAAATATCCCTTGGCAGTTAGAATTCGATACCAGAGTAGGCCATAGTGCCGCTGCCCGGGCAAAATTTCCCTCATAGTACGGTGTATGCCCGTCTTCATTAGTCCAGTCGGAGCAGAACAATAGGACGTTAAACCCCATTTCATTTTTTTGTACAGTTGTGATGGTATACTCGACGTATTCATTCTATTATTGTTGATACATGAGGTGGGGTGGGTGTGATTGGCCGAAAGGCTTAACAGGGATGGCGATGTTTCGATTACCGGCTGGTACGTGACATTGAGTGGGATCGCCTGTGGATGATGAGTGATAATTGTGCCCGGACCCCCCTCCCCCCACAAGTTTGTGTCGAATGAACGTTAAACAGCATTCTCTCTGTTGAAACACGAAACATGAGCCCAATTGCAAGCTGGCAATGACGTACAAATATAGTATATATGCATATCTTACCATGTGATAAATACAAGAAAGATCACCGCAGCAACACCGATTGAAATCCATATATACATGTCATATTCCACTGTAAAATAGTAATTCAAACCACGTTAGTGATATGAAATGAAATTAAATGGGGTTTAACGTCCTACTGTTCTGCTCTGAACTGGGCTAATGAAGGCGGGCATACGCCATACAGTGTGATATGGCCACCGTCTGTAACCCGAAGTTGTTTCGGGCATTGCAGGTTCAGCCCTTCTCCACCGTTAACACTCATCGAGCCCGTAGGTATGGTGGTATCACAGACAAGACCCAGGAGAGAGCCGAATTATATTATGATTTTGCAATCTTTCCACTTACCGCCTCTAACTATGGATTGGTTATTTGAAAGTCTTTATTAAGAAAGCGCATCAAATTTCCCAAATTGTCTTGGGGGGGGGGGCGTGGCCACTGTCTGTAACCCGAAGTTGTTTCGGGCATTGCAGGTTCAGCCCACCTCCCCCGCTATCACTCACCGAGCCCGTACGTATGGTAGTTTCACAGACAAGACCCAGAAAAGCCGAATTAGATTATGATTTTGCAATCTTTCCACTTACCGCCTCTAACCATGGATTGGTTATTTGAAAGTCGTTATTAATAAATAAAAAAAAAAATACATAGCGTTTGGTATTGGATCATAAGAGACTTTGCTGGATTGTCGTCTTTGTGGAATAGTTTAGTGTGTAGTTGTCTAAAATCTGCTATTTTAAAGGCAAGGTCACATTAGCTGACACGTCGTAATATATATATATATATATATATATATATACTATTCAAAAAAAGTAGGGGATATTTGATTTTTAAGTGTTATTAAAGTCACCTAATGAAACTGACGAAGAAACAAATGACAAAATGAAATGAAGTTCACATTCATCGATTTATTCCAAATGATCGTTAGACTAAGTAAGGCACAGACTGACCATTATAAGGGTAAAATGATACCCGGGGTCAAACAGCAAAGTTACCACAGCATCACAACCAAGTCAGTAACGGGTAAATCCTCCTCTGTTTGCCAAACAAGCATTGATCCGACGTGGCATACTCATAATGAGACGTCTAAGGTCATTTTGGTCCAGATTGTCCCATTCCTGTTGCAACGCAGCAGCAAGTTCTTGGACATTGGCAGGACGTTGTTGACGTTGACGTAACCTCTGTCCAAGCATGTCCCAGACATGCTCGATGGGGGAGAGGTCGGGACTCAGTGCTGGCCAAGGTAATGTGGTGATGTTCTGTTGTTGGAGGTAACCTGTAACGATCCTGGCCCTGTGACATCTTGCTTTGTCATCCTGGAAGATGAAACGGCGGCCATGACGTCGTGCGAACGGCACAACATGGACTGCCAAGATGTTGTCCCGGTAGTACTGGCCTGTAACACGCCCTGCAACAACATGTAAAGCCGTTCTTCCAGCAACAGTGATGCCTCCCCACACCATAACAGAACCACCCCCAAATCGATCATGTCTGATGACGTTAACGTCTTGGAAGCGCTCGTTTCGACGACGCCACACCCTCCTACGTCTGTCCAAAAAATCAACAGTGAACCTTGACTCATCTGAAAACATCACATTGCTCCAGCGTCGATTATCCCAGTGTTGACGATCCCTACACCAACGACGTCTTGCCTGAATGTGATGATCTCTCAAACAAGGGATCACGCGAGGACGTCGGGCGCGAAGGTGACCCCTATGCAGTCGATTCCGAATCGTCTGGCCACTCACTCTCACACCAGTGTCTGTTTGAAGACGAGCGCTGATCTGATTTGCTGTCCCCCCTGGGGTGTAGGGGGTGATAAGAATATACCCTTCGTATTTCCTGCGTGTCGTAAGAGGCGACTAAAAGGATCCCTGTAATGGGGCAACGTGTTTGCCGTGCGTTGCGACCCGTGTCGGTGGAGAGTGGAATCCTGGTAATTGAGTGGGGATTTGGCTTGCGAGCCCTTTCTCTGCAACACATTGCTTCGGCCCACAATTCACCTAGACGGGAGGTCAGAGTGGCCCACTCTGATCAATCGGCTTTGGTCGTGTTTAGCTGACGAGTAGGCGCATCTTTTCCACTATTCTGTAATGTATTTGTTGCAGATCTACCTTTGTGTCCTACGTGCCTACTCTAAAGCAGCGGCTTGGGTCAACTAGGTAGAGTAAAAATATTTAATCTTTACTTTGTCTAGGTATATCCCTGTCTGTCCTCGTGGGGCGCATGCGCTGGATATCCGCGCAGTAGCCTGCATTGATATTGTGACCCTTTGGTGGTTGGAGAGCAGGCAGGGATGAATCTTTTAATTTACTCAAATGGCTTCTCAAACCAAGAAGACTCGTACTACCAAACGTATGTCGACCGAGGATTTAGAACCATTACCAATAAAAACTTCCCGAACCTGGCCTAGATTTCTGGTCATACAAAGTACTAACGATATCAATCTTAGTAAAACATCTCCTTTTTTGATTGCTAAAGGTCTTGCTGGCTTGGCTGGTGAGCCCAAAAGCGTCAAGAAAATGAGAAATGGTACTTTGTTAGTGGAATGTGCTAAAGAATCACATGCTACTTCATTATTAAAATCAAAGACTTTAGCCAACATTCCTATCAAAGTTGCACCGCATAACTCTCTAAATTCATCAAGAGGTGTTATTCGGTCTCAGGATTTAGAAGGCAGCTGTGAGGAAGAGATGCTTGAAAATCTCGCCTCACAAGGTGTTACATACGTCAAACGTATTTCCATCAGACGTAATGGTAATATTATCCAAACCAACACCTATATCCTGACCTTTGATAAACCAGATCTTCCTAGGATGATCAAAGCTGGTTTTCTTGCCATACCAGTTACCCCGTACATTCCCAATCCATTGCGTTGTTTTCATTGTCAACGCTTTGGACACAGTAAAAACGTGTGTAAGGGGAAAGCGATGTGTGCTAGATGTGGACAAGATGGTCACGAAAGTACATCTTGTCAACTCGACCACCATTGCATTAACTGCAAAGGGCCTCATTTTGCTTATTCTAGAGAGTGCCCAATATGGAAGAAAGAAAAACAAGTGCAGCAGGTGAAAACAGAAAAAAACATACCATATCCTGAAGCAAGGAAGCTGGTAGAGGCTGCAACCCCAACATTTGCAATGTCTTTTGCAAATGCAGTCAAGCCCAAGACCACTTCCATTGCTTGTCAAACACCTGCTGTATTTCCAGCTGCGACGGAATCCTCGTCACCACCGAAACCTACCATTCCTCCAAAGCCCGTAAATATTTCTCTCAACACCCAGACTGCTAATAAGTCTGGGGAGTCTGAGATTGAGGAGATTGTGCCTCCCACTCCTCAACCAATTGGTGGAAATCCACCCAAAATAGATATTACCAAGGAACGTTCTGGTAAAGGCGTTCCTAAAAATTCTAAATTGGCTACCTTCCGTAGTAGGAAGGGTGACGAAGATCCTGTCGGAACCTATAACAGGTTCGGGATACAGGACAATCTAATGGATGTTGTTGTAGAAATACATGACCCCAAACAACATCACAGAAGTCCTGTTAAACCTCCCTGAAAATGGCTAATTCCATTATTCAATGGAATTGTCGTGGTCTGAAACCAAATTTTAATGAAGTTCAAATCTTAATTCAAAAATTTAATCCCTTAGCTATTTGTTTACAAGAAACTTTTTTAAAGAATTCAGATGTCTTAACACTCAGACATTTTGTTGCCTATCATTATTTTGCTAATAATGATGGTAGAGCACACGGTGGTGTTTCCATTTTCCTTAATGGAAATATTCCGCAGAGCAAAGTCACCCTCAATTCGCCTTTACAGGCAGTTGCAGTGAGGGTGACTTTACATATTCCTATCACACTCTGCTCTGTATATTTACCACCTAGTTTACATCTGAACCCCAGAGATCTCGATGACCTTGTTGCACAACTTCCTCTCCCGTTTATAATTACGGGAGATTTCAATGGTCATCATTCACTCTGGGGTAGTCCAGATGATAATAACAGAGGTAAACAAATAGCGGACTTCATTAACATTAATAATTTGTGTTTATTAAATGATGACTCGCCTACTTATCTACATCCTGCCACAGCTTCTTTTTCTTCTCTTGATCTAACCATTTGCTCTCCGGTCCTGTTTCAGGATTTTACATGGAGAGTGAATGAAGATCTGTGTGGTAGTGACCATTTTCCCATCTTGATAGATAATAATGGTCCCTCTCCGGTTGAAAGACCGCAAAGGTGGAAGTTACATAAGGCTGATTGGGCTCTTTTTGAATCTTTGTGTCTCTTCTCTTTTGATGCAAAAGAGTTAGAAGATGCAGATGAGCCCATGGCCTTATTCACTTCAATTCTTCAGGATGTAGCTGAGCAGGCGATTCCGAAGACCACGACTGAGCCCAAACGTTTCAATAAACCATGGTATAATAACGATTGCAAATCCGCTCTTAGAGAGCGTGATCGCATCTTAAGACGCCTTCAGAATCACCCTTCCATGGAGAATATTGCAGCATACCAAATGGTCCGGGCGAAGGCTCGTAGAACCATACGCCAAGCAAAGAAATCTTCATGGCAAGGATATGTCTCAAGGATCAATTCCCGCACCACTTCTAAATCGGTATGGGATAGGATTCGTAGAATTAAAGGTAAAAGTAGTGCATTATCAGTTAACCATCTAAATGTTGACAATACCACCTTAACAACATTTCCTGATATTGCTAATTCTCTGGCCAGTACAATTTCATTCAATTCATCATCCAATTTCTCCTCGGATGCCTTTCGGGGCATTAAACATCAACAGGAGAAAAGGCGACTTAATTTCAAGTCCCGTAATGATGAATGTTATAATGAAAAGTTTTCTATTGCTGAACTCCGTGATTCTCTTAAAAGGGCTAAGGATACTGCAACTGGTCCAGATGAAATTCATTACCAGATATTAAAACATTTACCTTTTTCTACACTTTTAATATTATTAGATCTTTATAACCGGATTTGGGTTGATGGGAATTTTCCCCCTTCATGGCGTGAAGCCATAATAATTCCCATCCCTAAACCGGGGAAAGATTCTACGAATCC